CATGTGTGGACAAACGACTGGACTGAAGGTAGACTTTAATAAAGTTGCAATAATAAACCTACCTACTAAATCCTGTAATTTCTACCACTGTATCAGCATGGTTTATCAAAGTTGGCTCATAAACTTCACTTAACTGTGAACAGAATATTCAAAGGAAATTGTTAACATAACAAGCAAGCTTACAGACTCCGAAAAAAGGTACTTTAAGTTAGTTGGCAGATATAAGAGTTAATAAAATGAAAAGCAAACCCAAAATAATTAAATTATGTGTCATACTATTCACATATAAGATTAGTAAACCACAATTGGGGCTCAAAGCCACTTTTATTTACCTTACAAAAATAAACACAATAAATGGTCATATTGTCAATGACAGTGGTAAAGGTTGCTGAACAGCAGCTTGAGACCAAAAGATATAAATCATTTACAACTTTAAGTTTGAGTATTCTTACCGATGATAAGACCTTCATCTCTAGTTGCTGGTATTCAACTGTTGTAGAGTCTTCATACTCCTCAACAAAGGTGATATTTGTGATCATGAATTCAACACTAAATGTGATCGGCTCTGTAATAAAATAACAAAAATTTCAATGTCATGGGCAATCATATTTGGGGGGGGGCATTTTGTCATATGCAATGATAAATTGGTTGATTAGTCATTAAAAACTTTTCATTTTTTTTGCACTAGTTCAAATTTTTCTGAATATTTGAAAACATTTATATAACACCTATGATATCATAAATACTGTAGAATACTTTATTTTCACTTGGAATTAATTTTTGCTATTTTCACTGAAGGAATGATTCAGTGAAAATAAAATCCAGCGAATATACCTTTTTTTTACATTAAACTTGTCCAAAATCAGTGGAAATTAAATCCATACAAAGCACCAAAAAGTGAAAATCAATTCCAGCTAAAATAAAGTATTTTACAGTAGTCTATTCACACATATTGGTAAACATATGAATAGATTTTTCAAAACAAATTAAAGAATAAAGTTAGTAGATATGGAATACATGTGAGGTATTTTGCTAATACTAATTTTGCTTCATGTACATTTGGTAGAGAAATATTCAAAAGTAATATAGCATGTAAAACACGAAAGATTTTGTTACCTACCAATGTAGATTTGACAGCGTTTCCCGGTATAAGCAGGTCCACACTGACATAGGAAACCATTAATAATACTAATACATTCAGATTCACCAACACATGGATTGGACGTACAATCGTCTCGAACTGACAACAAGAAAAACTTTTAGTAAGCATACCCTGGTAATATTAGCTAGCTACACCCTTCACTTGTGATAGTTTGTAGTTAAAAATACTATTTATTCTCAATCGCAATATCATTATGCAGCTTCTATTTATTTGATATACAAATGGCGAGCCCCTGCTTCAAAAGCTTTGCAACAAATAAATGTCATATTGTTTTTGCATAATGTAAATCAAGTTTAACAATATAATATTTTACTTGATCGAAAGTTGGAGAACATTATTCAGTTCCTGAAGTTTAAATTCAAACAGAAATTATTAAAACAGACGCAATTTGATATTGTTTACAATTTTGGATCAAAAGTTTCTAAGCTGGTGACCAATACTTTGAAGAAGTTTGAGTCAAATTCTGTTTTGTGCCTAGTGGGCATATGTGCAATGCATTATGGGAGAAAAATGTTTCAAGTTCACTAATCAAGTGAAATGCATTGTGGGATAATAATTCAAATTGAATATAATAGAAAAATATTATCTTAATGGAAAGTAAATTAAATAAGAATGTTTAAAACATAATGATTCATATCTGTGAACAAAATTTCAGCCGATGTAACAGAGCAAAATGTCCAGATATGAAGAAAAGAATAGAATTAAATCATTGAATAAACAAGGAACATCAATAAATTCTGGGCCATTAATAATGCCTAGTTTCCTGATTGTAAAAAAATATTTTGTTTTCCCAAAAAAATTAATGCCAAAAGACTGTACTACATGTACAAAATTGGTTGACCATTTCAGTAAGGTTGTCAAACCCTTATTAACATATTTAAATGCACACCATCCAGCATTCTGATTGGTTAATAATTTGTTTGACCTAAAGGGTTAAAAATCAAAGTTTCAGGTCATGAAAAAAGTATGGAGGATGATTGCGTGACCAAAAACAATCGCTTATGATGAAACTAAGTTGAATTTTACTTGCATTCATAACAAATTGATTTTTTTTATACGTTATTATAATGACTACTGAGTAATGATCTTATTTGCAATACCCCAAAGTGAGTAAGTTACTCATTTGTGAAACACAGCATACACAGCCGTGATCATTTGCTACTATGCAATGCATTCATGTTTGTTTTTTATTTGAAACTTTTTCTAGACTATTCTTTTCGTTACCAACAAATTCAAAACAATGAATATTACATAAAAAAAAGTATTTTTTACTATTTTGAAATACCAACAATTTTTTTTATTTGACTGTAAACTTCAACAGTTCGGGAGGCCTTTCACTCTGACACCTAAATTAGCGTGACAAGTAACTTTTTTATTCCAGTAGACATAAATATTAAAAAAAAAATCTAATAAATCATATATCTTGGCTGATATATTTCTGTAAACTGGCAACTATGATCAATAATAAGGATATCACAAAAATACCCTGAAGTGTGCACTCAGCAAGTACAATATCACATAAACCACAGCTACAAATCTGTTCATTGATACAATCACCATACAATATTGTTGTATTAACATGCTAGGTAAGTTATATCTCTTAATGTCACAGTAGATTATGAAATATGACAGTGTCTTACTTATGGAACAGAGAGTTCCTAGTGTTCCTGGTCGGCACAGACAGTTGTAGGTAGAACCTTCAGAAACACATGTCCCACCATTGGCACACTGGTGCACTTCACATGGGTCAAATTCTGTCAACAAAAAGATTGAAACAAGATTAAATAATTTGTTGACATCCACAAATATATAGTTTTTGCTCTGAATACTGTAAAATATTTTGTATGGAATTTATTTTTCACTGATTTGAAAGTGAAATAAAAGTATATTCACTGGATTTTATTTTCACTGACCCATCTCTTGCAAGTGGAAATAAAGTATTTCACAGTAAGCAATTATTAACTGCAACAAAACATTTTGGATATTTCTGGGATGAAATGTTTTCTGTAACTAGCATACCATAATATGAGATACATATCAAATGACAAAATAAATGACAAAACATCCATCCATTTCTGGCGTATGTGTTGTCAAGGCAATGCAAATCAACTTGGGTACGCCAATGAGGAATCTATATACTGTCTGAAAATTAACAAACTGTTCAACTCATTCCCTGTGTCTTTTACCTAGTGCGTGTATACATATTCTATTGTGGGATCTTTTAGTGATTCCATTATGATTTTATAATTGTTGTGAGTGTCCATACATTATTATGTTCTAAATATGTTTTAAACAGTTGCAAGATTACTAACTGCCTGTATGTAGATGATAACAAAGAAGATAATTTCAAACACAAAAAGTTAGAAACCAAGGATTAAAATGTGTAACTACTTGGTAATTTAATAATTTATTAATACGAAGAAACACGGTGGTTGAAATGATGAAGAAAAATAAAACATGGTTTTAATATAATTCAGGGGGTTGAGCTATTAATACAAAGATTACAATGTTCATTGTAATGCTAGGTAGTATAATAGCATAGTTAGGCAGTATCATAGCATTTACCGTTTTCACAAAAGGACCCCACCCATCCTTCTGGACAGACACAATAGGATGGGTTATCCGCAGTCACAACACACATTGCCTGATTCTCGCAGCTATAATTAGCAGGACACAATTCTGAAATAAGAAAATGAATTCATCATAGTTTGATATCTAATTGGTTTGGGAAGACAGTGAATTAAGCAAAGTGACTCTCACTGAAATTTTGTAGGAAAAACAAATTACTTAGAAAGACAATGAGTCCTGTGACATCCACTGACATTTTGTAGCAAAGAAACAATTGATTTGAAAAGTTCAGTGGTCAAATATTTTATCTGGGTTTTGTAAATAACACTTTAAAATATAAGCATAATGTTAAAGTCGAAGAAATCCGATCACTTGTTTTAATTATAGCCAAATACATAGAGCAGTATACATAATTTCCATATCTATAACGAATTACGGTAATAATGATCACAAGAAATATAACTAGTTTTCTAACTTACCTACAGAGTAAATTATAGCTTGGAATCCATCCAACGAATATATATCATCGGAAGTGAATCGCATCCACACCGAATTACCTGATGCTAGATAATCTAAAGGTTTCAGGGTGCCCATTAGTATAATAAAATCATCACTCGGGGTATCACCATCGCCAATATAGAGAAAATCATAATTAGTCTCTATTTTAAAAATACGCATAAATGTCACTAAAAGACGCTGATGTGCTGGACCAATAATTATCCATGTGATGTCTTCGTTCTCAGGGTAAATTTCAGGATAGTTGGGAGTTGAAATATTGGCGATGCCATCTTCAGACAGGTAAATATATATAGGTGGTTCTGCAAGAAGAAATTTAAATGACACCATGAGCGTTTTGAAATTTGGTCATCAATTGTTATTACATGTAAATGAACTAAAAGAGATTTATAATATGCTGCTTTATAATATGATTTAAAAACAGCTGGAGTATCAACTGACGCGCAGCAGAGGTCAATGCGACGGTGTACTGTCTGAGTGCATACTTTGAGGTATAATAACCTTATTATTATACATCTTTTCCTTCATGGGAATGCCAAAATCCAAAATATTTAGAACAGAATCAGCTAACTTCTTTGTGTGGAGTCCGGCCAAACCCTGGTGGCAGCTATGTTTGTTTTTATTATTAGAGGACATTTATGTGTGTAATCAATTCCATATTTGGAATTCGCATTTACTAATATGGTAGGATGAAAATAACCCGTAAAATACCGCAAAATTACAACACGCTGGTGTTACGGTGTCATATGTATAATAATAAAAAATAAAATAATCTTAGGAATAAAATAGTTTCATTCAATATGTAACCTTGTGAATGCCTAACATTTTGCAAAATTTTATGCAATTTTCAATAATGTTTTTGTTAATTTTGAACCAAATGAACATAATTAATAATATGCACGTTTATTTTTTGTAAGGTGTCAAATGTTGACTTAGTATTCAAACTGTTAGTGGTTACACTATTTTCCATAGCTTTATGCAAGATTACTACACATTAATGAAAAATAAAGAACTGGAGAACTAATTTCAATTATGTTTAATTCTCTCCTCTCACGTACACTTTTTCAAATATAATAGTTACATAGATCAGGAGAACAGTGGATGCATTGACAGGTTATTTACATCTACGTTTTATTTAAAAATAACAAAATAGTAAAATTAAATGACAGTGTAAAATTAAAGGTTTCCTTGGGTTAAAAGAAATGTTTTATGATTAAATATAAAACTAATGCAATTTTAGTTTATGTGCACTTTTGTTGCAGATGGGCATGCAGTGTTTACTCTAGGGTGCACGATTCCACGCCTACTACACTTTATGCGCCCTTAAAAAAATACTACAAGGGCGAAAATCGCCCCTTTCCTCACTGCCCATTGAATTTTTTTAATGATGGTCTGTGCGTGTATTGGACTGTGACGCGCCAACTAGCTTGCTGATACAAATAACAATCATCCTCCCACACATTTCGTTTAAAATAAATTGTGCGTTCTTATATTTAAAAACATTACCTTATTCAGGTATGCGTACGTAAGTTGGAACAGCCTGCATTGAGTTTCTGGAGTGTGTGTGGCAGGGCGACGCGTGAGCAACTTGCCGAGGCAACAATGAATTGTCCTTCCCGCTTGTTGCGTGATTTAATTAATTATTTTGTTGATTATTAGTAGTGAGTATATTAACGTACAAAAAATAAATTTGTTGAATTGGTATGAAATGCAAATAAATTTCAACTCAGTTTTATCTTAAGCGAATGATTCCTGTCGCTAATTAAACGAGAATATCGCCATGTTTTGACCTGGGACAGAGTTCTTAGACCTGATAGGTCAAATCGCTAATTGACCAATCAAAATGGTGGATGATGCCAATGTGCTCAAATTATAGCTCATTTAAATATGTTAATGTTATTGGACGCAACACGGAAGAGATTTGCCGATATTGTAGTACGATCTTTTGGCTTGTATTTAGATAGGAAAACGGCATGATTTTTTTTTTAAACAAAAAATTAATTGTTTTCAAAAGATAAACTGAACATTTGAAGAATAATTTAACATTGTTTACAGTGATAACAGCTCATTGTCGAAACGAAGCTTACCCATTCACGCTAGTCACAATAAAAATCATACTCTTGAATAGGCGTCAATGACTACGGTAAAACTTAGATTAGACTATTTTAGGCATCCAGCCAGAATGATTTAAATGTCCAAAAAATGATGCCAAAATATTTAAAAAAAAATACCTTAAAAAACTGCTGAAAAACATGATTTCTTGGACTCATTTTATTTTAAAAACCAAACTGCCATTTGATGGCCAAGGGTGAATTTACGGCAGAATCTGGTACATTGTATAGACAAGATTCCGCTGATTGTAAGGTTCAGACAATCCCCCTCATACAAAGCTGGAGAAAACACTGGGCTTGTAACACAAATACAGTACTTTATGTATAAAAAATGCAAGGACAACATACTAGTTGTGATTGGGCTGGATACACTAGGCTTTATAGTTGGCTGAACGACATCAAAACAGAGCCACTCATCCACACTATCACTACAGTCATTATTCCCATCACAAACCATCGCTGGAGATAAACAAGCACCATTTGTGCACACAAACTCAGTTGGACTGCAGGCTGTAAAATAAAAAGGTATACAATTAGGAAAAACAATGAACAATTTATACAAATATAATAAATTCAGATGTTTTAGAGTATTTATTACTTGTGTTTGTTTTCTAGAATCGCAAGACTCCATAAAAGAATTCTCATAATTGATTTGATATTAAATAAATCTAGTATACATAATTTGAGAAATAATTTGAGTTACCTTGGTCATACACTTTCAATTCAATGTAGAATCCCCTGGAAGACTGCTGCGATCCAGTAGTGAATGTAAACCATAGCTCATTGCTATCTGATACAAAATTCTCAGGACGCACTAACCCTGATGAAGATCTAATAACTGAAGTGTCTGGCTGTAATCCATTCCCGTATGTCAAAACATCAATGTTTTGTCCTGTTGCAAAATCCCAAAACTGGACATGAATTTCTTCTCCAGGTTCAAACGAGACAGTCCAGATGCATTCCCGGTTGCGTCCGTAATCATATGGATAATTTGGAGACCAGATTGATGTTACGTAGTCAGTAGATGTGATGTGTCTTCCACACACTAACAAAAAAAATACAACTCAGATCTGTAAAAACATATCAAGGATGCAAATATAGGCCCCATCGCTAGAACAGTGCATTAGAAACTTAAATAAAACAGAATAATATTATGTTATTATAAACACCTCAAACATTCTTCTATCAAGCATAAATACCTCAAAATCAAGATTAACTGCCTAAATGTTTGTATGTCAATCGTGAACACCTCAAATATTTACATTAACAACATTAAAGCACGGTGGTTTCGCGCAGCGCGTGTTCGAATTTCATGTAAATTTTATTTTACACGCATTGTATACGTCGTTATGAGTCCCACATCGAACAGGACACGGCACGACGACTGCCACCCTTTAAGCAATGAACCTGTAATTTATGACAAACTTTTGCAAAAATCATGAGCTGGCTCAAAACTACCATGACAGTCCTACCTGTGTTTCCAACGAACACCTCAACATCGCCACTACATCCAGAACTCATATTATTCCTCTGCATCCACAGAGAGCTTACATCCGATGTGAATGAAACACCTGAATAAAACAATGCTTCGGTGAAAGTCACAATGGTGTTCATCAATACGTCTGAACCGCTTCCTATGGTGATACTATATGTGCAGTCTGAAGGTACGTTGATGAAAGTTACATCCACGAGTAACCCAGCAGTACCCTGAATGATCCAGGTACATTCATCCTCACCATTTAGGATGTCAGTATCCAGATAATAAACCAGATCTGTATTATACATAGATATGTCTATCCATTCACCACAATCTTGAAAAAATAAAAATAAACACTTTCTACATTTTAACTTTTCAAAACCAAATACAGTGTATGGTATTTGGTATGTTTGGCTGTCTTAGCCTTTTAACCACCAGTTCCTTTTTTTCATCACAAATTCACAAAATAGTCCTGGACCAGTTTTCCAGTTGCACTTTTCTTCAGAAGATTGGGACAAAAATAGCCAAATTTTTTGCCTAAAAACCTGAGAATTGACACAAATTTTGTCTGTTGGCTCCAAAGTTAGGGCTATTTTCCAGAACTAATGAAGAATATAAGAAAAAAGGGCAGAAAAATTTGGGGTGAGCAAGTCTGGTGATGAAAAGGTTAAAAGATGGTGGGTTTGAGAAAATAGCCATTATTCAAAACAAGTGGTTAAATTTTTAAAAACCTCATTTCGTATAAAACATAGTCTAAAAGATTTGCTGTCTTTATTGTCTCTTATTTTACTTTTTATATTTTATTATTTTGAAGATAAAGATATTGTTATTACTGTGTTGAGTTCAAAAACAGTCTAAAATTATAGGAACTTCTTTCAATAGAACACCACCAAAGTTTCTGTCACCATTTCATTCACACACAAAATATTAAAAAAAACAACATAATTTTTAACTTGTCAATGTAAAAGAGGCTGGCAGGATTTAATATGATCTGCGATGGGGAATATTGTTCATTTGGTGCAAAATACGTGACTTTTCATTCACTGCGAGATCTTGTGTATTGTGTAAATCAAACAATTTGGTTTTGAATTACCGGGGTAATTTTTTTTGTTCATAGCTCTATGCCGAAATGCCAATAATGAGAGGGGAATATTGTCTTAAGATATCCTTACTTTATCAAAATTGACCATCATCAAATGTGTAAAGCACATTAATAGGCGTGAAAAAAACCCAAATATATTTTAGCATTCCATGCGACGTTTTGAATGTGAACAGTATGCAAAATGTGTTGCACAAATATTAACTTGGTAATCAAAGTCTTGATTAATGAAACAAACACTCACCATCTCCTATCCCACCATCTGGGTTTTCACAAGTGATATTTGGTCCTGGTACAGGAAAACAGAAATGATCACACCCACCATTATCCACAGCACATCCATTAGTGCCTAGTCAAATATACATGATAACTCAATTATTGAATCATATTGTCAATTTGTCTGATATACTGTAAAATACTTTATTTTCACTTGAAATAAATTTTCCGCTGTTTCAGTGAAAATAAAATACACTTTTTTTCCTATATTTTACATACAACTTGTCAAAAATCAATGAAAATAACTTCCATACAAAACACCCAACAAGTCTTTCCAGCGAAAATTAATTCCAGCTAAAATAAAATATTTTACAGTATAGAAAAGAAGATGTTTTAGAGGCCAGTAAACTGTTTATCCAAAGTTTTGAGAACACAAAGATGTGACGATTAGGCCAAAACAACAGATTTTCTTTAAGTCAGTACATATGTAGCAGCAGGTCAGTTTAAAAGGTTTTCACACCTTTTGTTCAGGGTTTTTGTCATAATGTTGTGAAAATCAAAAAAAAAAATAGCAAAATGAATAAATAAGAACTAGCAGCCAGTCTGCTGATATAGCTATGCTGTTTGAGATGCATATAATGAGAATATCCCATCAAATGAACAAATCTGAGTGAGAACCATTCAAGGTACATTTATAGTGATACCAATAAAGCTATAATTTTTCAAAAAGAAGTTGAAAATGTAAAGTTGATGACGGTGACGACGACCAATCAGTGATATGAACAGCTCTGTTCTGTCATTTGCGACGACAGCAGAGCTAACAAATGCATATCAATTGCATAATTTGTATTTAAAGCCAAACTACAAATCCTATTTTGGCTTTATCATGCCATAGCCTTATGGAATATGGTTTCTACGACAAAATTCATATGTACTGCTAAGTATTACGCTGATAGATAGAACAGTTTTATCAGTCTCTTCAATTTTATTGAATATTAATAAGACTGCATTAGCTACTTACCGTCAGGTATGGAGACTAGTGTTTGAACAAAGAGCCCAGTTGGCATTGTATAATTCTGTGGCCCAAATGGGACCACTTCTGAAACATTATTTGCACTTTGTTCAATTTGAAACAGCCCATTTGCAAACTGATCTGTCCAGTAGATGTGAGTGGCGGACACAGCGACATCCATCGGGTAGGTGACAGAAATAATTACTTTTCTCTCTCCTAAATTCATATCATACACTTCAATTTGCTCATATTCCCAATCACACCAGAATAATTTCTTGCCTAGAATGAGAAAAAAACAGAAGAACAGTCGTGTCAATGTTGAGTGTATATCACTTCATGACTGTCCACGCAGTCACAATCCAGTTATGTTAAATTGTACATGCATATAAGTTAGATTGATAAGACAGCTAGCAATCACACAGTTTTATACCAGATATACAACTTCATTTCAAAGTTGTCAGCTGTGAATATATCTCTTCATGTGGGGGTCATAAATGAAATATTTACTACTTTACAGCACACTAATTTTGCAAAAATTTTCTTCATGTATGTGTATATGAAACACTTGAAATAAAATATTACACTGAAAATACTTTCTTAACGCATTCGTTTAGTTTTCTGATTGGTACACAAGAAATGCTAAATAGACTACCAGATCAATCATGTTGACAGAAGTAAACAAGAGATTGTTCAGAATCAGTAAACAACAAATCTTTCCCTTTATTGCACCAAATTTGCTAAAGTAAAGGTAAGATATTGAGAAAATGTGAAAGGGCAATACACTTCACATTGATATTTGTTAAAAAAAAATGTCTTCTTCTGTTTTTTTGCTGAAACTGTCCAATGGAAAACTAGCTTTTTGAATACATTGTTTGCTGGCTGAAACTGTTCAATGGGGAAGCAGCATTTTGAATACATTGTTTGCTGGCTGAAACTGTCCAATGGGGAACCAGCATTTTGAATACATTGTTTGCTGGCTGAAACTTTCCAATGGAGGAACCAGCACTTTGAATACAGCGTTTGCTGGCTGAAACTGTCCAATTGAGAACCCAGCATATTGAATACATTGTTTGCTGGCTGAAACTGTCCAATTGAGAACCCAGCATATTGAATACATTGTTTGCTGGCTGGCTGAAACTGTCCAATGGAGGAACCAGCATTTTGAATACAGCGTTTGCTGGCTGAAACTGTTCAATGGAGAACCAGCATTTTGAATACAGCGTTTGCTGGCTGAAACTGTCCAATGGAGAACCAGCATTTTGAATACAATGTTTGCTGGCTGAAACTGTCCAATGGGGAAATAGCATTTTGAATACATTGTTTGCTGGCTGAAACTGTCCAATTGAGAACCCAGCATATTGAATACATTGTTTGCTGGCTGAAACTGTCCAATTGAGAACCCAGCATATTGAATACATTGTTGCTGGCTGAAATTGTCCAATGGAGAACCAGCATTTTGAATACAATGTTTGCTGGCTGAAACTGTCCAATGGGGAACCAGCACTTTGAATACAGCGTTTGCTGGCTGAAACTGTCCAATAGAGAACCAGCATTTTGAATACATTGCTGCTGGCTGAAACTGTCCAATTGAGAACCAGCATTTT